GTTTATATATATATATATATATATATATATATATATATATATATACATATATATGCGTGTGTGTGCGTGCGTGTGTGTGTGCACATGCGCATGTGTGTGTTTGCACTTTTTGTCACCCACTTTCAACTCGAGAACCAGGAAAGCTGGAAGGCTGAACTTTGGAAATATGTGCCCACACAATGTGCGACTCTTCTGTTTTAACTTCAACCTGGGTGCCGCTTATGGACGCTTTAAAAAAATATGCAAATTTTCTGGCGGGAAAGCAATCTCGGGAACTACATGAGCTAAGGGGCTGAAACTTTGTAGGGATATTCCGTGTGCATGAACTAGCTAAAGATTTCAAATTCAGCCCTCAGGTATGTGTGGTACTCAAGTAAGGGTTATGAAAATTTTAGAGGGAAAATTACTAACTCGGGTATCAGGAAAGCTAGAAAGCTGAAATTCTGACGGATGTCGCATACTAGTAAATGGTATCCAGTGAAAGTAAACGGCCATTCAGGCGGACATCCAAAGAGCTACGCGCTGGTTGCTGACTGAGGCGTAGGAGTGAGGGGCCTGGCTTAGATGCAGGTAATCCCCAGAAGTAACAAATTTTTGCACCAGCACTTTGAGCGACCCTGATCTGTGCATCTGTGATTAATTTGGAGACTAAATGCTGAGAACACTGGAGTGATTAGTTGGGATTTTTTGAAGTATTTCCAGGCATTTTTGCCCAGTTTCTAACCGGCGCAAAGTGTTTTCATTCGTATTTTTGTTGATTACAGGAGTGATGATAGCCAGACACCATTTTTTGAGCAACTTTCGCTGATCATCATAATTTGTACATCGATGACCAGTGTACTGCTTTATGTCATCGTATTCCTTAAAGCGCGGCACTTTCACAAAACACTCCAAATTCATTCTGTTAGTTCTGTTACATTTTTCCAAATTAACGCAATATGAAAGCTGGGGGGTAGTTAATGCCAGCAGCGATTATCCGGTAGTTGCTTAGAAAAATCTTATAGCGAGTTTGACTTTCTGATGTGCGTCAGTACCAAATTACTATCGAAACGAATGAACGAATCGTAGAGGGACTGTTTGCCACTGACAAAACCAAACCCTAGGCCTGCAGCACGAAAGCAGCGCTGCTTGCAACAGCGCAATATCGGACAGTTGGACTTCAAGTGTCAAGGCATCCTAAAATCCGTTGTCGAATGGTTAACTTGCTTGTGGTCCTAACATTCGTTTTAACTCTCAAAAAGATCACCGGTTTAACGGTAACTTGAAAGAAGCGCGCAGAGCAAACTTGAAGGTGTTTAGAGGTGCCACTGACGTATATTGAATATTACCACCTTGTTTTAAATGCTGCCACTTTTGTGGCGCCTCATTATAGGTTGCTGCATCTAGCAATAAAATTTGTTACACAGTAAAAACGGATTTCATAAAATCCATCGTTACATTTTTCTCCTACCTCCAGCTCCTCCTCTCTTCCATGAGCCTATACTGTGTGAAATCAAGCCAGATTTACCGATTTTTCACCAGCACATAAACGAGGACAGGAAGTGGGAGGAGGAAGGGGGCGGGAAACGCAAAAAGAGATAGAAGAAGCACTGGCTGAAAGAAAAACGTAACTGCACAATTTCTTGCAGCAGCGTCAAACGGTAGATGTAGCATACGAGCGGAGACAGATGAGATTGGCTTTTACGACGGGTATTTCATGCATACTCACGACCACGCTATTCGTGATACCAATGTGCGTGCGTTTTGTTGAGCGTCATTGTAATTTGGAAGAACTTGCGAAACTTGTGGAATTTTATCCGCCGATCAGCTGCAATTTGAATCCGGTAGCAGTGGTCATCATAATCTGCGTGATGCAAGATGATATTCGGCAAGCAATGCTCGCGTCGCTTCCGCCATGTCTCCAACTATTGTCGAAATACACTTTGAAGAACGCGAACATTCATCGAATTCAGCCTACAGTAAGCATAAAGAAAAGCAGTGGAATATTCAAATGAAGCCAAAAGAAAAGCAGTGATACTTATTGCTTATTTTGGCTGTAAACCTGGGTGTAGCAAGTCGCAAAATAAATAAGGCAAAGTGCAGACAGAGTATGAATTATGCAACGCGAAAAAAAAGGAGTCAAAGATTGTCTGTAACGCGGCGACTCAAGGATCTTTTTCACATTATTTTCGGATTCTACCTGCTACATGGTTTTGCTAAGTGTAAAATACTGTTAAGATACACGCTTCAGAATCTATGAATATTAAAAAGGCCAAGTAACAGCACTAAAGCGTCCACAATAAACTCTATTGACCCTATCTAGAGTTCAGAGGATGGGAACCTAAAATCCAAAAGGGCTGTATGGACTCTTCCCGCAAACAGCTTAGAAAAATTTTAATCTAAAGTGAATTTTCGCGGAGCGCTTCTGGAGCCAAAATAGAAAGGTCGGGAAAACCTGGAGTGACAAAATGCGCCGTGTCATCAAAGCTTTGTTCATCAACAGTTTATAGTGGAATGTAGTGGTAGACTTAATAAATGCAATTTTGGAAAAGTAATTGGGCAAAATTAAGAAGGCGGCATAATAAAGAGAAACTGTAATAATAAAACTAGAAATAATAGTACTAGTAATGATAGCAATAATAATAGTAATAATAAAAGTAATAATAATAGTTAGTAGTAAAGGGAAGGCAGTAATAGTGAAAAGACAACTCATCTCGAACTTTATTCTTACGACACGATGATGCACCTCAGCATCCAATCGACATAAAATTCTAGATTACCTGGGCAACTACTGCGAGTCTAACATACCAGTAGCGCCACTACGTTGCTCGTACAAGCGAAGATAATGCATCGATCCTAGGCTGCAATTCACCAGTTAGTGCTCATTTCTTTTTCACCTCCGATTGATCACTTAGTTTTTTGCAAAAATCTCTCATTAATGTGCAATGTCCACTGGTTCTAAACAAAGCCAGTAACATACCGTACCCAGTGGACTTTTTCGTTCGTGGCAGCAGTAATATTTTGTTTGCAGTTTATTTGATAGAAAGTTTGATTTTTTTTTTCGTCCGATCACAAAGAGAGATGCCGAGCATGTTTCATTTCATCACACTTTCTGTCGCAGGCAGTGCTTGCTCTTCAATTTTGGTCAGTGATTTTCGAAAACCAAATTCTTTTAACGTTAAAATTACCTTCGTTATGCGTCACTGTGTAGACCGAAATGTTTCTGAGAAGTCCTGAATTAGCGTAATATGGTTTGACAGGCATAACTAACTGCAGTACGAGAGGACTATTGTTTCATGTATTAACCTTGTTATTTTATTTCAAACAATTAGAGGGGCATTCAGTGAAATCCAACACTTTTCGTCATTCCGAGTCCTCCTTTATAGCCAGTGCTCGCTCTTTAATATTGATCAATGATTTTCGAAATCTTAATTTTGCTAATGATAAAATTACCTTCGCTATGCGTCACTGTGCAGAGTAGGCCTACCGAAATGCTTCTGGAAGCCTTGAATTAGCGTAATATGGTTTGACAGGCATAACTAATTGCAGTATGAAAGGCCAACTGCTCCATGTACTTTGTTTTATTTCACGCAATTAGAGGAGTATTCAGCAAAGTCCATTACTTTTCGTCATTCCGAGTCAACTTTATTAATCCAGCATTTTGTTTTTTTTTTCTCTCGAGTGTTCTGGACATTTTCACTGAAAAGGTTCTAATGAAACGGTTCAATAAATATTTCAACAGGCAGGCGAAGACAATTCCAACCACATTAGCAGTAGTGAAAAAATGCCGGTAATGCAGGCCTCCCCTTCTAGAAGCAGCTGATTTTCGCTGGCACTATTATTAGGTGTGTTTGGATAATCGGTATGGAGATTCGACATTATGGTGGATTTGGTGCAACCACCTGCCAGCGCATCCGCATAAAGCCTTTTTATGCGTTTTTTGCATCAGTGGGGTGCAAAAGCGCATATTATCGAGAGGCTGTCTGTGTGTATGTGTATGTTTCCTTTCTGTATATATATACCAGTGTTTGTTCGTTTGACTATGTATGCGCCAGCACCGAGTTTTGATCTCGAGACCTACAAAAGCTACAGGGCTGGAACTTTGAGAACTTAATCTACATGCATGCACGTGTCCCTATCCCTAAAATGGACATTCTTGCTCATATGTTTCCGTGAAAGTTTTTTGCAAGCTGTTAACTCGGGGATCAGAAGAGTTAGAAAGTTGGAATTTTAAGCGGATGTTCCTCGTTCACGCAGGACTTAATGCGTTCAAACCTAGCCCCCAGGTATGCGTAGTTTCCACATGTGGCCTTGTGGAAGTTTTGGGCGGGTGTGGGCTGATTCGGGAGCCAGAAGAGCTAGAAAGCTGAAATTTTGAGGGAATGTTTTTTCACAGTCGTGGTGGCCCGTCCCAATTCCTTTGGCTAGAAGCATTTCCGGAAAAAGCAGTGCCGTTGGCGACAAAAACCTGTGGGAAACTGTGCAAAAACGCGTCTTCGCACCGGCAGTCGGTGCGCTGGCTTTTTATTATTGTATGTCTGTCTGTACAATTTTCTGAAAAAAAATTTTTTAAACACAAATTTTTTGAAGAAATTTTTTCAACAGAAATTCCACATGTCGGTGATTTCCCGTGAGACAGGAATCAAACAGGGTGTGTATTCTCCTAATTAGTGATAGACGTCGGGTGTCAAAGAGTGGTCTCTTAGGACGAAAAAATTTTGATACAACGAGCTGCATCCACAAAACTGCGTTGATTAAGCTTGTCTTTGGTTGGTACTTTCTGTCGACACCATTTCCTGCGCCATCTTATTTTTGCTTATCACTGATAACACAAATAATGCTGTTTGTCGATTACCTCTTTTGAAATGAAAATAGTGGTACTCCTTGCCCCATCCGCTTCCTGTCTCTTTGTGACAGAGACCAGTATCTAAATTAGTGGGGTAGTGGTTTTTTTTTTATTTTTATTTGCATTTTCCGGGTCAAGTTTGAGAAAAAATTCTGATATCAATCGTCTCTTAAGTGTTTAGACTATCGCTAACTTCCGGAGAATTTGCTTTTTTTCAATATAACCTACGAATTTTTCTTATCTTTTCCTCATTATCATGCTAATTTATTAAGAAAATGAAAAATGCTCTCTTTCAAAAAGCAGTACGGGTTTCTTGCAGTGCACTGACCGAACCCAGTTGAGGAGTTCAATTAAAATATAGTTTAACGAACAGAAATGTATTCATTTCGGAATTTCAATATATTCTGCATGTTCCAATAATTAATATGTTCAATTTACCTGGCAGCATCAGTCTTGCCCCCGCATTTTCGACTCAAGAGCCAGTATAACTTGGGAGTTGAAGTTTTAAGTGAATGTTCCTTGCTCACATGCTATCCCACAAACTTGGATTCAGTCTTCATGTATGTCTGATATTACGTAGATCCGTGGAAATTTTAGCGAGGAAAATACTCACAATCAAAAAAGTTGTTTGTTAGACTAGAAGTAAACGTACTGGAGCAGAAATTTTTACTGCAACTACTTCTGTAAAGAAGCTATCCGTATTAATGGTGCATAATTTGGTAGTTTGTTCAGCTGTTGTTCCACCTTTCTTCTTGCCATAGCACTATTGTCACGTTCTTCTTCTCTACTTTCCGCCATATCTTCAGACAGTGTTCATGTGGAACCTTTTGACTTCCATGTGTTCTTTTAATACTGGACGTGGGGATCCATTTGTGTGAATACGATAAAGACGTGTTGAATTATCAACGAGACAAAAAATAATTCTGGGAAAGAGAAAGTAATTAACTGGCACATCAGGACAAATTCGAAAATGATCGTTCAAAAATGCTCTATATACTGGTTTCAAGGTGCGGATAGTGAACAAGATAATTAACTGAGAGAAACGATTTTCGAGCAAATTAAGCCTACAAGGCTCTGTTTTTTTGACTAACCTACTTCACGTATCAGTATGGGGTAACTGGATGGAAACTGACCACTTTGTGTAACACTCGGAGTGGGACTGCATGCTCAAACTGGTACAAAATAATTAGGAGTAACTGGAGGCATGTGAAATTTCAGGGCAGAACGATTCAGCGTTTGGTATACGCAAATGTATATTAGCTGTACCACCAGTATCGTATGTTCACAGAGATCGCCTGAACATTTTCAGTTCAAAAATGAATTTACTGACTACGACGTTTTACATTTTCATTGTTCTTGGCATGCTGCTGATCCTATCAAATGGTTATTTCGCATATATTCTTATAAGCCGACGGATGCTTTTGCGCCGATACTGTACAATTACTGTACAGGTAGAAAAAGCTAATATTTGATGAATTTCATTCATTCGTTAATATCATCTATGAGGGAGCTGTAGACATCCCGAACTACGAAGACCGCACCCGGATTGTCAGTGGGATATTTCATCTAATGATGTTATTGAAATGCTCCGATAGGCTACGCAAGGCTCAATGATTCTGTCGTGATAAATCCGTGGAAAGAAAAGGATAGAAACTGCCTAAAGGAAGCAGAGAAAAAAAGAAAGGTGCATCCTGCCTTGAGTGACACATAGTACTGAACCCGGAGAACAAGGGCCGGTGATGTAGTGGTAAAACTTCGTGTCCGGATGCGAAGAGGATTGGTTCGATTCCCTCTCGGCCCAGAGCAATTTTTCGAAAGAAAAAGGGCTCCATTCCTGCCTATACATACACTCTATAATTAACGCGGTTTTTTTTTCTTCAAAAATACAATGAATATCAATCCACTGTTACCAAATGCTGATGATGAGTTGTTTTAAGTGCGTAGTAAACGCAGCAGAGGGAGTTGCACTACTAACATCGGGAGCTGGACGACTGATTATCATGAAAATTGGTTACGACGCAAAAACCAGTAAACGAATTTGCATGTTCGCACCATGGAATTTGCTTTTCATCTGGTGAGACTTCGTTAAACCTGAACTTTTGGCGTAGTGTGTTTTGAAGCCTTCATTAGATTCGAACTCAGCAATAATTGAGTAGTTGGTAAAAAAAGCAAAATCCAACGGGCAGCGCATATTGCTCGTCTTACTGACAACCGGCGGACGTTGCGCATTAATGATTGGTATCCTCATGACAGTAAACGACCACTTTGACGGTCTCCGAAGTTGGCTACTAGCAGGAGATATGCATATCAGGATCGAAAAGCCCGACAGCTGAGCGCGACGTGTGGGAGCATCCCTAATATGGGATATTCATGATGTTCAAAGGACCTTAATATTTACAGCAGTAAGTCAGTAGTGAAAGAAATGAGTTATTCAGAGCTCAAGCGTAACTTTTTGCTGAAACTTCCTAGCGGAAAGCATATTCTGACTTTTGCCCTATATATGTCCGAAAGATATTACTTACCTCTTTGAGTTAAAGGACTGAGCCAATGCAAGCATTATCGTTGCTGTTGGTTGGAATTGACCGATTTATTGCCATATTTTTGCCTATATTGTATTTTCGAAAACATTTCACAATACAGATCGTTGAGGTTCGCACATTTCATGGATTCTTTATAAGTAATAGAGATGATCTGTGGTGCAGAACAGTACGCGAAATCACTTTCGGTTTTTCGTGGAAAATGACGTATGTAGTTTTTTACAATCGCAGAGTGTACGTTAATTTTGACGTGTGAGTTATTTTAAGAAAGGTCATTTCTCACTTTTAAATTGAATTATGCACCAGATTTTTAGATTTCAGTTTGTGCTGTTGTAATTTTAATATACACATGCACGAGCTGGGTTTTTTCATGGCTGGACAACAGATCCGTGTTATCTCCTCTTTGCTGGTTTGTCATTTCTAGAATTCTTTTTTTGCATGCTTTTTTGGAATTATTTGGTCATGAGTAATTCAAAGTCTAGATCTCTGTTTGCGCAGCACGAAACTTTTAAAGTTGTACTGACCGATGCTGTGCTGCTTGGCGGTCAGCCTGAATTGGCGATCTTGGCGTTTGTTTTGTCTTCTGAAAGGTCTATCAATCCAGTGGTTCTTCCAGCAAAGCACTTTTTAATGATTTCTTTCCTGTGTGCTGAGTACCACCACCTCGAACACTGTCACTTCTAGACCACGTCGAGGTATGATTACAATCACAGGACACCAAGATTTCCTAGAAAATCAGTATGTGAATCCCATGTTAGTAAATTTACTGGAGCACTGACACTAGCCAAACACAGTTATGCCATATACTCCGATTTTAAACTGCGTACTTGACATCCGCTGTCTGTGCAATGTATGCGCGTCAATTGTTCGGAGTTCGTCTGAGTGGCTGTTTTCTTTCTTCCGGGTGACACTTACCAATGCTTGAATTTTGCTGGTTAGTGCGAGCAACATGCCCTGCTGTTTGAATTTACCTTCGCGCACAGTTACAATGGCATCCTGAATGCTGTGCGTCTGACTGGAAGTCTCATTGTTTTTATGGTCATTGCTTTATTTGCAAATAGTTCGAAAATTCAACGGAAGTAACAGATTCTGAAATTAAATTTTTTTTGCAGGACTATGCAAAGTATGATGAGTATTTTTACAAATGTGTCATTGATCAATGAAATCTGTGCATCGACAGCAAGCGTATTGCTTTACATCATTGTATTTATCAAGGCACGGCGATTTCAAAAGACTATCAAAATTCACTCTGTTAGTTTATTATTATTATAATTACTATTATCATTATCAATATTTCAGTTATAATGGTAATATTATCAATGTTTTTAGTTTTAATGATAGTAATGTATCATTAGTACTAGTAATAATACCCAAATTATGCGAACATTCGATGTGATGAATCAATGACGTGCTTTTACTGGGATTTTCCAACGTAGGGATACTAGGCCCCTTAGTTCGTAGTAGCTTACCTTCAGTACTCACCAACTAAAAATACACAGGCTAATCTACAGGACCTTCCAGCTAGTCATTCTTTTCTTGAGTACTGTCCACAAGTCTGAAAGTTTCCTTTTACCCTCGTTGCTCTTGGGTGTATTAAAACCCAAAAATCAGGATGAAACTGTTAATTATAATTAAAATAAGCAAGTAATCTGAATTAACTGAGACAAAACACTTTTCCCAAACAACTCGTAAAGACTAGGGTTGAATGAGAACAAATAAATGAAAGGAGAACAAACGCAGAAGTAGGAATAGTGACTTGAAAGTTGTTTTCAGAATACCAAGGCAGTCTACTTGAGCTACTTAGAGAATCAAACTCTCGTTCAGAAAAGAGGCGTGCAGAATATTTTTACAACTATGCGAGAAAGTAAAATCCATTGGACAAGGCACGTTCCTAGCCCTGCTGACAATCGGTGAATAGCAGCCGAGAAAAAGCAAGTGATCACTCGTAACACCCCACCTCCTACCTCTCCTATCTCCCCTCCCCGCATAGCGGCGCTCGGCTTTGAGGATATTTCAGTAACATCATTAGCATGGAACACTCACACTGACAGCCCAGGCGATTTGGTGTTTTTGGTGTTATGCTCGTTGATAAGGTATTAAATGCTATAATTTCATTCTTGACAGAGCTAGGCATATAATATTTGTATAGCAGTTGCAGATTCGGACAGCGAATGTAGCATTTGAACGGCGACAACTGCAGCTAACTGGTACGATGTGCATTTCGTGTGTGCTTACAACAGTCCTGTTCGTGATACCGGCATGTGCACGCTTTATTAGCTTCAGTAGCAGTGGTAGAATTGTACCGAAAGCAGAGCTTCTGGCAGCTTATGCGACGATCAGCTGCAATTTGAACCCTTTTGTGATTGTAGTTACGATTTTCGTGTTGCAGGAAGATATCCGGAAAGCTGTGCTTGCCTCGCAACCGCAGCGCTTTAAACTGTTGCTAACGAAATGTGCGCCATGCAAGTGTAATGTGTTTCCAAATGGCAAGAAACGAGTGACCATCGCCACCTTTCCTGCATGATTCCGTAACGGCTGGTTCCAGCACAAGGGCACTAGGGAGCTCAGTCTCGTGAACGGAGCCCTTTCCCGATTTCATTATCCACTGCTATTCGTTGTTGACAATCGCCCCACTCAGAGAGATCTCGGAGGAATGGCGCAACTGCGAAATAGGCCTATTAACGCTTTGTTATTGGAATGTGATCTGTTTCAAATATGTGATTACGACATGGAAAAATGCTACTTCACAAACTGAGTTTGTTGTTTTACTTCCAGCAATTAGTAGGACATTCAGAAAGAGGATAACGGATTTTTTCATCATCCTGAATAAAGTTTCATTAGTCCAGCATTCTTTTTCTTGTGCGTTCTGCGATTTTTTGTTTATGCGATTTTACTGAAATGGTTCAGTAAATATTGCAGTTACCAGACGAAGACAATATAAAGCATACAGCCAGTACATGGAAAAAAGAAAACAAAGCAAGCTCATTCTTCTGAAAGCACTGATTTTCTTACTACGATTACTAGATGTGTATCCGGACAATCGGTGTAGGGCTCCAGTGTTACAAATTTTTGCTGTCGATGCACCCAAACACTCCGCATATCTGTACACGGCTTTTTAGGCGTTTTCGCTTGTACGCAAGTGTAAAAACGCATATTATCACGACCCATGGTTTGTGTGCGTCTGTCCGGGTATCCCAGCATTGAAGCTTACTTTGAGGGTTCGGTACCAGCCTTCCC